TTCTCCCAGCCCTACCTGCCTCTGCCAGAGGTGGCGCGCGACCCCACTCAGGATGACGAAGACATGCTAACGCTGTACCTGGTCGTTGCCTTGGCATCTGTGTCTTCTCTCTTCCTCTTGTCTGTGCTGTTGTTTGTGGGGATAAGGCTGTGCAGGAGAGCCAGGGCGGCCTCTCTGGGTAGCTGTGCTGTGTCCGAGGGACACTTTCCTGGCCACCTGGTGGATTTCAGTGGTGCAGGGACCATGTCCCAGAACTACCAGTATGAGGTGTGTCTGACTGGTATGCCAGATTCCAAGGATTGTCAGCTCCTGAAGCCTGTGTTTCCTAGTCGTGAGAGGGCTATGAATTAAGAGAAAGAAAATTCCGCCTCTGTAAATGGTTTCGAACATAATTAGCAGTTTGCTGATTTTTCTGATTCTGGATGAACATTAGTTCTTTCTAAACATTCTTGTTTGCTATTGTTTTATCATAAGGAATTTGGAACATTTTGCCTTAATTTTCCTAATTCAGGAGATGATAAATTTCCTGTATGTCCTTACAAGTTTATTCTTTTTTTTTTTTTTTAAATCACTTCCTGATGAAAGCAGAGAACTTTAGTCATTACTGACAGGTCACAGTTTCTTCAGCTTGTCAAGTAGTCAAGATGAGTGATTAATTTGAAAATCTTCACCTTCATTCTATTTGATTGTTGTCCAGAAACATTTTAGAAAGGTTTGATGCTTTGAAGATAAATGTAATACAAATGGAACAAATTTCAGTGCATCTTCTGTCTAATACAGCATTATGCTTTCCTATCTAGAATATATAGAGTGTCTGAAGATGCATGGTTTTTTAGTACAGCAGTATTAATTGGGAATGACAATTTCTCTGAAATGTCAAGGCTTTTATTGTCTTAATATGAAAGTTCAACATATCATACATATGAGTAGTGTTAAAAAATGTTTTTAAATTATCTCAAAACTTGTAACAAGCTAGATCTCTCCTGTGGCATCTGTCTAGCCCACCTCAAATTTTCTGAAACTATCTTTCTTCATAACTATCAGCATAGGTGTCTGACCAAAGCTGGGTTCGCTTTGTGCAATTTATGTCCCTCTATGATTTCAGACAATTGGATGAAGTGATGGGCCTTGCAAATGGAAGCTGAGCCAGCCTGATTCTGGTTACTTTTAAAATCACTTTAGAAACCAAATATATTTTAGTCTTTCTGTTAGGAATGTTACACGAAAGTGATGTCATCTTTTGGTGAAGTATCTAATGTCAAGCCCCAGAGAGACTAAAGGAAAGACATACCAAACAAGTAATCTTGTTGAGAACATTCCCGTCAGTGGTAGACAAGTCGACTTACACTATTTGGTTGGGTTTGGGGGACATAGAACTAAGATGTGCTTGTGTAATAAATTCCTGTAGTACAGCTTGGTCAAGGTCTGTTTTAAGTGTGTGTTTAGATGTTCTTGCCTGAATTGGTAAATTATAGATGTTTATTTCATATCTTTTTTTTTCCACCCTCCCTCCCTCATCTCCTCCCTGCTCCTTTCCAAGTCCACTGATAGGGAAGGACCTCCTCCCATTTCATCTGACCCTATTTTATCAGGTATCTTCCGGACTGGCTGCAATATCCTCTTCTGTGGCCTAACAGTACTGCTCCTCCCTTGGGGGGTGGGGGGTCAAAAAGCCTGCCATTGAGTTCCTGTTAGAAATAGTCCTTGTTCCCCTTACTATGGGGAACCAATTGGTTACTGAGCTACCACGGGCTACATCCGAGCAGAGGTTCTAGGTTATATCCATTCATGGTCTTTGGTTGAGTGTCAGTCTCAGAAAAGATCCTGTGCCCAGATATATTTGGTCCTTGTGGTAATTTCATATCTTTATTGAACCTTTCATGTTAACATAGCACAATGAAAGGGTTTGTGAACTGCTACTCTAGCATGGCAAGGACATGTGGAGCTTTTATGTAAACAGAAAAATTTGAAGACAGGAGTGGTGGTGTTCTCAGGAAGCTGGGGCAAGATCTTGAGTTCAGGGCTAGGCCTCAAGACCCTCTTTAATTAGGACAAGCCACAATTATTTTCATTTAATAAAACGATGGTTTAGATCACACTGTGTTATTTCAAGTGATTATTGGAAGAGTATAGGGAATCAGTACCTAGAAAAATGTTGTCTTGTTTGTTCAGCTTATTTATGAAACGAGTTAGGATCCCAACCAAGCAAGCAACACCTACAATAAGAGAAAAATCCACACAATTTTATGTTTTGTTCTATGATGAATTGAGTAAATATTTACTGAACATATCTTCTGTCCCAAGATTATTTTATATATTGGGGTATACAGCAAACAATGATGCAGTACTTACAGGAAATAATCAGATATATTCATCTATGCTGCATGTGATAAAAACAAAACAAAACAAAAAAAACACTAGAGTGAAAGATGGGGTGAGAGAAAAAAAGGTAAGAGGTACTTTCAAATGCGTTTCCCCACACTTGAAAAGCTGCACAAAATTTTAAGTTCCTGACTACATGTGGACAGTAAGTCATAAACTGGAACCAACGTGAACCTTTTTTTTTTTTGTCTTTACAAATGTCAACCAATAAAAATCACATTTCTGGTACCTTAGAGACATAAAATTACAAAGAAACTCCAGAGGTACTAACCCCACTTTATGGAGATACTCTTTAAATAAATCGCTTGCCTATTTGCTGATAATTTTACAAGGTGACTGTCACTCAGTACTATGTCTTTTATTATTTTTATTATTATTATTTCTTGGTTTACCCTAGAATACCCCAACGCAGACAGCAGCTTCTCAGAGGTAGGCAGCTTGTCTAAGTTGTTTGAGTACTTTTCAGGATCTTGCACATTAATAACAAGAATTTGTTGTTGTTGGATGAGGGATTGTATAATTAAGATAATGTTTGGTGATTAAATTTATTTCCAAACTTCTGACGAGCAAATAGACTATTTTTTTTTTAAATGGAACTATGTGGCTATCTGTTGAGAAGCAAAATAAACACACGGTGGCGCTGCAGGCTAAGGCTTTAAAGAAAGGACGGCCAGGGAAAGGGGGAAAGCGCTTTTTAAGATCGGGGGATGAAAAGACCCTAGGACGCGCAAACCATCAAGTCTCCAGTGACTGCTGGATCCTACCCTTCGGAACAGGCTATTAGCTGACCGATCGACCGCTGCCTGGATGTCCTTGTACCGTGGGTGCTGAAGCAAAGATGACTACTGGAAGGGAGCACCGACAGAGGCAAGTTCTGTTGATCTTTCTCTTACTGGGAGTGGCTAGGGCTGGCTGGGAACCCCACCATTACTTTGTGATGGAGGAAATGCCCAGTGGTACGGTTTTGGCTGACTTAGTCAAGGACCTAGGGCTGGGAGTTGCGGAGCTAGCGGCTCGAGGAGCCCAGGTGGTCTTTGAGGATAACGAATCACGCTTGCAGCTTGATCTACAAAGTGGGAAGCTAATTTTAAATGAAAAACTGGACCGGGAGGAGCTGTGCGGACCCACTGAGCCCTGTGTCGCTCATTTCCAAGTTTTACTGAAGAATCCACTGGAAATATTTCAAGCTGAGCTCCGAGTGGGAGACATAAACGATCATTCTCCCGAGTTTCCTGAAAGAGAAATGACCCTGAAAATCAGAGAAAACAGCCCTGTTGGTACCATGTTTCTTCTTAAAAACGCTCAGGATCTGGATGTGGGTAACAACAGCGTTCAGAACTATAGTATCAGTACCAACTCTCATTTCCACGTGTCCGTCCGAAGCCGAGGTGACGGGAGGAAACACCCGGAGCTGGTGCTGGACAGAGAGCTCGATCGCGAGGAAGAGGCGGGGCTCAGATTAACTCTGACAGCGCAGGATGGCGGTTCTCCGCCCAGGACTGGCACCTCCCAAATCCGGATTGTTGTCTTGGATGTAAATGACAACGCCCCGAAATTTTCACAGGCTCTGTATCAGGTGCAAATCCTAGAGAACAGCCCCATGGGTTCCCTGGTTGCTAAGGTCTCTGCTAAGGATTTAGACACTGGGACAAACGGGGAGATATCATATTCTCTTTTTCATAGTTCTCAGGAGATGAGCAAAACATTTGAAATAAACGCCCTGTCAGGAGAAATTAGACTAATTAAAACACTGGACTTTGAGACAACATCTTCATATGAAGTAGATGTAGAGGCAGTGGATGGCGGAGGGCTCTCTGGGAAATGCTCTGTTTCTATTCAGGTTGTGGATGTCAATGATAATTACCCGGAACTAACTATATCATCGCTCACCAGTCCCATCCCAGAAAATTCACCAGAGACAGAAGTGGGTCTGTTTCGGGTTCGGGACAGAGACTCTGGGGAAAATGGAAGGACAGTTTGTTCTATCCAGGATGGTGTGCCCTTTACCCTGGAACCTTCCATTGGGAACTTTTATAGACTGGTGACAGAGGGCCCCCTGGACAGAGAGAGCAGAGCCGAGTACAACATCACCATCTCCGTCTCCGACATGGGCTCACCCAGGCTCACAACCCAGCACACCATAGCAGTGCGGGTGTCCGACATCAACGACAACGCCCCCGCCTTCACCCAATCCTCCTACACCCTGTCTGTCCGCGAGAACAACAGCCCCGCCCTGCACATAGGCACCATCAGAGCCACAGACTCAGACTCTGGCTCCAACGCCCACATCACCTACTCGCTGCTGCCACCACAGGACCCGCAGCTGGACCTCGACTCGCTCATCTCCCTCAACGCGGACAATGGGCAGCTGTTCGCGCTCAGGGCGCTGGACTATGAGGCTCTAAAGACCTTCGAGTTCCGCGTGGCCGCTACAGACCAAGGCTCCCCTGCTCTCAGCAGCCAGGTGCTGGTGCGTGTGCTGGTGCTGGACGACAATGACAATGCGCCCTTCGTGCTCTACCCTCTGCAGAACGCCTCTGCGCCCTGCACTGAGCTGCTGCCCAGGGTGGCGGAGCCTGGCTACCTGGTCACCAAGGTGGTGGCTGTGGACCGCGACTCTGGCCAGAACGCCTGGCTGTCGTTCCAGCTGCTCAAGGCCACGGAGCCCGGGCTGTTCAGCGTGTGGGCGCACAATGGCGAGGTGCGCACCACCAGGCTGCTGAGTGAGCGCGATGCCCCCAAGCACAGGTTGCTGCTGCTGGTCAAGGACAATGGCGATCCTCAGCGCTCTGCCAGTGTCACTCTGCATGTGCTGCTGGTGGATGGCTTCTCCCAGCCCTACCTGCCTCTGCCAGAGGTGGCGCGCGACCCCGCGCAGGATGATGAAGATGTGCTCACGCTGTACCTGGTCATCGCCTTGGCGTCTGTGTCTTCACTCTTCCTCTTGTCTGTGCTGCTGTTCGTGGGGGTGAGGCTGTGCAGGAGGGCCAGGGCAGCCTCTCTGGGTGTCTGCTCTGTGCCTGAGGGACATTTTCCTGGCCACCTGGTGAACATCAGCGGCGCAGAAACCCTGTCCCAGAGCTACCAATATGAGGTGTGTCTGACTGGAGACTCTCAGAGTAATGATTTCAAATTCTTGAAGCCAGTGTTTTCCAGTGCTCTAGACCAAAATTCTAGTAGGCAGCCAGGCGCTAGTCCACCTTTCCCAAGTATTTCAGGCATGTGAAACTTCACATTTCACTCACTATATAATTCTCTTTTGTGTTTCCATTTTCTTTTTAAATTTGGTAGTAAATTTTACTTGTATTTGGTTTTTTTTTTTTTCCTTTTCTCTACTAGTTTAAATAGCGTTGTTTTCTTGTATGCTGGCTTGTTTACTGTATAAGCATTTTTTTTTCAATTTTGTTGTTACTTAACATTTTACATCAGGACACTTTGTGTTCCTGATTGAATTCACAGTCATCACTCTTAATTTCGTATTTCTTCTACTGGACACAATTCTAACTTTAAAAGTATATTTCCTGACCTAGGAGAATAGATTAGTTTACAGAGTTCTATGTAGTTTGTGGGAGCCCTTGGGTTGGCTCCTCCTCTCATTCCAGCTGTTGGAGGTGTAGGCAAGCTATCAGGAGTTCAAGGTCAGAGAAAATGAAAACTCAGCCTGGCATATATGATGAAGGAGGTGAATTAAGTCTCAAAAAATAAAAATACATTTTTGATGTGTGACAACATAGAACAATATATTATTTTTCTTAAATTATATTTAAAACATACTTCACCTTAAAATTGGAAGACTTTAGGTTTGTTATTTGCATGGGTATGACTTAGTAGCCTCATTTGTATTTTCCTTGGAAGAAGATCCCTTGATTGTGTTTTCTATTCTCCAACACTGTAAATATCATCTCATGAAAAATATATCCACATCGCCTGTTCTTTCTCATCTAAATTAACAAAGAAAAGGCTAAACATCTCCATTACCCTTAGCTGATGGAAGTGCTTGGCATGTTGCCAAAACCCAGACTGCCTGTGTTCAGGGAGTTTCTGTGAAGCCAATAGACTACAGCAAGAGTGATATATTTCTTGCTGTTATCACTTCTTGTAGTGAGGAAATTCTTGTGTAAACCCCAAATTCTGGACTCAGGGTAGCTTCTGGCAGTATAGCATGCTGACATCTCCCTGCTTTGGATAATGAATTGATAAGGAATTTAGAAGAAAATGCACTATAGAATTGACAAAGTTAACCAAACACTTTTTAGTAAGGTTATGTTGATGTAGTATTAAATTATTTAGAGAAATTATTCAAAAAAATGATGACCCCAAAGATGTTCAGTCTGGATCCCTAGAACTTATAAATATTACTTTGCATTATAAAGATTAAACCCAAACAATAATAAGGTTGTTAGTAAAATAAACTTAAAATACAGAGTGTGTTCTAAATGATTTCAGTGGGCCTTATAGGACCAGTGAGATGCTTTTAAAAGCGAAGTTGAATCTACCTCGAGATGAAGAAGAATCATCAGGCATAGTGGCTAACACCTTTAATACCAGCACTTGGGAGACAGAGGCAGGCTGATCCCTGTGAATTCAAAGCCAGCTGGTCTACATAGTGAGTTCCAAGACAGCCGATGAAACATAGTGTGACCCTGTCTCAAAAAAAAAATGAGAGAGAGGAAGAAGAGGAAGAAAAAGAAAAAGAAGAAAAAAAAAAGAAATTCCCTAAGGACTGTAGGTGTGCCTTGTGGTTCAGTGTTCCAACCTGCCATATTCTGCCATATGTACAGATTGTGAACTTTCTAGCAAACTGCCAGAGTGGAATAAGCCTTGTGATATGCTCTCTGGTGGTACTCTTTCTCTGTTTGAAGCCTGAGGGTGCAGCTGATGAAAAACTTAAAAATATGAAAGTAGAGCCAGCAGGGGTGGTGCGCACCTTCAATCCCGGCACTCGGGAAGCAGAGGTGGGTGGATATTCGAGTTTGAAGCCAGCCTACTCTGGACAGTGAGTTACAGGACAGCCAGGATTACATAGAGAAACTCTGCCTTGGAAAAAGTATGGATGTCGGTTTTAAATTGGGCAGTGGTCAGACAACAGGAAAAAAATCATAGATAAAGAAAAGATTCCAGTTGCTTTGTACAGACTTGATAGAGAAGCGACCTTAACAAATCTAGTAAAGACACAAAAGGAAATGAGGAACGTGGTGCTTATATAACATGTTGGCCTATAGAACTTAAAAAATAATTTAAAGCAAACTGTGGGGAGAAATACTGATGTTAGAATTACTACTAGTAAGAGCCCAAGCAAGGACAAAATTTTTTCTAAAAATCTAGAGAAAAATTAAGACTTTTTATGTAATGGCAGAAAAGTTAGCTTAATCATGACCTACATGAAATGAGTAAAGAAGTTCATGCCTTTTGACATCTGGCTGAGGAAATTTCTAGGAAAGTATTGGGAGCACAGCCTGATTTCTTCTCACTGTTTATAGTAAAAGATAAGCTGAAAAAAATATCACGGTATAACCAGGACCTGATGACTTGAGAAAATTCTCATTCTAATTGCACTGTAACGTATGTTCAAATCAGGAGATTCACTGCCAGGCATGCCTGCATGGGATAGGAAGTCTTAGATGCAACAGGGAAACCTTCCACTAGTGCCTGGGAAAATTCACAACAGTTAACAATACGGAAACCTCTTTGAAGGGGCAAACACATGTTCTATTTGCATGTTTTTGACAAAATTTTCCTCACGTACCTAGACAGGTATAACATGGCATTCATTACAGAGATCACTTTACATATTGGCAGAACTTTCAGAAGTTGGTCCTGTCTTTCCAATCTCCACTGTACCTGTTAATGGGTTAGAAAATAGCAATTGTTATTTTCCTCAGGCTACTGTCATTAATAGCCAACCAGTGGGAGCAATTCCTGTCATTTGGTAGCACCGATGACACATTTCTAAATAATGTTGATTTGAATACAAAAATAAAGAAGGAAGTTTATTACTGGTACATTTGTATTTGGTCTTTCTCTTAATTTTTCTAGACTTCGTACTTACACTGATCCCATCAGTCTTCTCATTTGTTGAGATGTTTTGAAATAGGCCCAGAGATTCAAACTTCTTAAGTCAGTTCATTCGGGATTCCATTGTCTCATAAATTAGCTGGCAATTGCTTCTTCTTCTTCTTCTTCTGTCATATGAAGGCTTGTGTAAGATATTTGTGGCAGTTTAAATGAAAACTGTCTCCCATAGGTTTACATGTTTGAACACTTGGTCTCCAGTGGGTGGAGCTGCTTGGGGAGGTAGCGCAGGTCTGCTGGAGAAAGTAACTCATTGGGGGTGGGCTCTGAAAGTTCATAGCATTGCTCTATACCCAGGTTCCTCTCTCCATTTGGTGTTCATGGTTGAAGATATAATCTGTCAGCTTTTTGCTCTGCATGCCTGATGCCATACTTCCCCAAACATTGTGGATTCTCCCTCTGGAAACGTAAGCAAAAATAAACTCTTCCTTCTTTCAGGATTGTTTGGTCATGCTATTTTATTGCAGCAACAGAAGAATAACTAACAAAGTTTTTTTAGTTTTCTTTTTATTTTTATGAATTTGTTATAATTGACCATTAAAATAATTCATGGGTAAACATTTTTGTTTGGGAATAATACTTTCAAACTCAATATTATATCATGCAATTCTAATTTTCTATTAACTGTTGGTAACTTATTAGAATTTTTTAGATTAAAAAATCTCAAAATTTATGTAAGATTGGATGTTGAAAGATGTTTATAATATTAATTTTTATCACTTGATATAGTTAGACTTTACAATAATGGTCTTCTTTTTATTCTAGATATTGGTAATATGTGTTTTCTCCTTAATTTTTATTGTATGCATTAGTATGACAGTATCAACCTTATTTTTTTAAAAACAAGACAGCATTCTCTTTAATACGTTGCTTGTTAATTTTTATTTTCTGTTTCATTGAATTCTACTATTATATTATAATTTCTTCTATCTCCTTTGGATTTAGCTTTTCTTTTGCTACCATTTTTTTTAATTTGGACATTGCTCTTCTAGTTTAAACCAAAACACATAAAATATGAATGAAGTTTTACTTTTTTCTCCATATGGTACTTAAAATGAAACTCATAAAGTTTGATATCTTGTATTTTTATAAACATTTTATTTAAACTTATAATTTCCATCTTCTTCGAAAGGTGGGTTATTTAGAAGTATCTTGCTTGATTTCAAAGTACTTTGGTGATACAATTTTATTAATCCCCAATTTTTTACTTGAGAATATATTCTGGTGAACTACAACCCTTTAATTGTTGATTTTATTCAAAGTATTCAGTATTCTGAAGTACATTGATAAAAATCCCCATATCAGCCAGGCAATGGTGGTTTATACCTTTAGCACTCAGGATGCATTATCAGGTGGTTCTCTGTGAGCTCCAGACCATCCTGGTTTACAGAGTGAGTTTGTTATAACCTGCTTAACACTTTTCATATAACCTACTTTAGTTCTTGGTATAACTATGGGTCTTCTGTAAATACCTGCTTTTGTCTTTAGCATAATAGGAGACAGTTTGTTTTCAAATCTCCATTTTGATTATAAAGTGAAAAAAAATCTTCATTTTAATCATAAAGTTTATGTTCTCAGGCTCTGCCTGCACGAGAACTTGAATAGCCTTTTACTTACAACTCAATACTTGTTGAATGTTCTGCTTCTTGAATTAATTATATATATACATATAATTAATATATATTAATATATATAGAATATATATTAGTATATATTCATATTAATATATATAGAATATATATTAATATATATTCTACTTAAACAAAAACACAGTACCCTGTTTGTTCCTTTCTCCCAGAATGGTGGGGAACTGGAAAGTCCCAAAGCCTATATCCTAGTGAATCAGCTTAAAATGCTTTGTCTATGTACTTAAATATAATGTAGTTGGAAGAAAACTGATTCTTATGTTTAGCTAGTCAAAATGATGCAATGCTACCTTCCCCTTGCTTCCCACATGGTTAACCTAGTTGTTTCCTGGCTACAGTTTTTCTTATAAAAGGCCTGCCTTAGAAACAGACCAGCATCACAGTCTGGCTCCTGAGCCCAGATTATGTCCCTGACAGCACAGTCTTTCTTCAACATTCAATAAACTTCCATCCAACTGAGCCTGGTGTTCAAATGGTCAGTGTGCAGCTATTCCTGAACCCTAATAAGGGCAATGACAGCCAGGGCTATACAGAGAAACCCTGTCTTGGAGAGGAGTTTGAGCCAGAACAACTGAGTTGAACCAGGTAACCAGAGTTCAGAAAGAATAAGGGTGAGCTTAGTCAGCAGTAAATATCAGAGGCTGAAACTATTCTAGGCCTATATTAGATTGTATAGAGGCTAATGGCTTCCAGGACTAGGCTTCGGTTAGCAGACAGAGGCAACAAGAAGACATGGAGATGACAATTGCCTCAGGGAAATAAAAGTTAGTTTTACAGGGCAGGACAGAAGACATGGGTGCAGAGTGTGTGGAGGAAAAACTGCTATATGAGGATCAGGATAAATGAATTGCAGAGGAAGCCAGGAAGAAAGCAAAGAAGGGAAGAGGAGTGAGTAGAGGGCAGCTGGGGCCCTCAGGTGGAGCAGGTCAGGAGTTGGAATAATGGCAATGAAAGTAGAAGAGATGTATCTGGAATTAGCAATTCAGGAAGAAGAGGTATCAGCCCTAGGGAACATGCAGAGCAGGGGTCCAAGGGAAGACAGCTGTAGCTTATCTTTTCCTACCCTAACTCATGATCCTGAGGGGCCTTCCACCACTAGTCCATTGGCAGAAGCTAACAACCCGCTGTTGTAATTTACTTCTCTGCTACTATGCGAAAACACCAACCAATAGCAATTTGGAAAGGAAAGATTTCATTCTAGCTCCTGGGTCATAACCCAACACTGAGAGAAATCTGGCTGCAAGAACTAAATCAGGTCCGTAGAGGAATACTGCTTACTGGCTTGCTTTTGTTTGGCTTGCTCAGCTACTTTCTTATCCAAACCAGAAAACTCCATCTCAGGGAAGGTGACACCTCCTATATCATCTAGTAATGAAGAAAATGTCTCATAGATATGTGCACAGGTCAGTTCAATAGGGGCTATTGTTCAGTATAGGCTCTGGGGGACTCTAATCTGTGTCAAGTTGACAAACTATCTTCTTATGCTTTGGATATGCTATATATTAATCTTTACAGCACAACCCCTTTGTTATCCTTTTTTTCTCATCATCTTCATCACACTCAAAGACCCATCTCCATATACAGAAATTTTTTTATCTTCCTCTTGAAATATTGTCTCCTCCTTTAATCCCTTTCTCTCTTTTCAGTTTGCCTTCTCCTCCATTTTCATCTTCTCACTTAGGTCCTTGGAATTTAAAATACTTATTGTTCCCATGCTCTCCTATAACAGTGTTCTGGAGTTGCTGGGAGAGAAGTGGGTTCCTAGAGCAAAGATGGAGAAGTGCTAGACAGTGGAGAGTTTCCATGGCCAGAACCTGGCATGGTAATTTCTGTGTAAAGTGATTCTTTTGAAGATGTGTCACGGGTATGAAGGGAATAGACAAGAGTTAGTCCAGATCAGAGACTTGCAAAGCCATAGACATCTGAAAAATGGACAAAAATATGATAGGGCAGTGGTTTGTGGGCTCAGTTTACAGTTGCTAGGTCGCAGGCTTTCTGTCCTTGTAGCAACCACTCCATCTCATACTTTTTATTACAGTTTTGCATGGTACATATTTTTCTTTTTTCTTTTTTTTAATTTTATTTTTCTCATTAGTTACATTTTGTTAATTCTGTATCCCAGCTGTATCCCTCATTCCCTCCCCAATCCCACCCTCCCTCCCTCATCTCCTCCCTGCCCCTTTCCAAGTCCACTGATAGGGGAGGACCTCCTCCCCTTTCATCTGACTCCGTTTGTCAGGTATTTTCAGGACTGGCTGAAAAGTCCTCCTCTGTGGCCTAACAGTACTGCTCCTCCCGTGGGAGGTGGGGAGGTCAAAGAGCCAGTCATTGAGTTCCTGTTAGAAATAGTCCTTGTTCCCCTTACTATGGGAAACCAATTGATTACTGAGCTATCACGGGTCATATCCGAGCAGAGGTTCTAGGTTTTATCCTCTCATGGTCTTTGGTTGAGTGTCCATCTCAGAAAAGACCCTGTGCCCAGATATGTTTGGTCCTTGTGGAGCTCCTATCCTTTCCACATCAAACTCCCTTTCTTTCATATGATTCCCTGCACTCTGCCGAGGATTTGGTTATGAGTCTTAGTATCTACTTTGGAACACTGCTAGGTAGAGTCTTTCAGATGCTTTCTGCAGTAGACTCCTATCATACATTCAATGCACATCCCATTTGTCTTTCTAAATGAGGATTGATCATCATACCCCGGGTCCGCTTTCTTGATTATCTTCTTTAGGTGTATAGATTTCATTATGTTTATCATATCTTTTAGGTCTATATAAGCGAGTATATTCCATGTTTGTCTTTCTCCTTCTGGGATACTTCACTCAGAATGATCTTTTCTAGATCCCACCATTTGCCTGCAAATTTTATGATTTCTTCATTTTGATTGCTGGATAGTATTCCATTGTGTAAAAATACCACAATTTCTGTTCCCATTCCTCCATTGATGGACATCTGGGTTGTTTCCAGGTTCTGGCTATTACAAACAAAGCTGCTACAAACATGGTTGAGCAAATTTATCTTCACTCTGAATTTATACTTAATGTAAATATTCTTTAAAAAAAAGAGCTGGGTTTGGGGGGGGGTTATCCAACATTATTAGTTCTTTCTTAAAATTGAAAAGACCATACCATTTATATGTAATATGTAATACTTCTATAGCTGTATCTATTAAGTTTTATATTCAAACATCAGTTTTCAGTCCTTTGTTTATAATTTTTTGTTTCCTTTTGCTTATAAATTTGTAGTGTTTCCTTTATATCTCTAATTGTCTTTAACTGTCTTTTACTTTAATTAACTGTCTTTTACTTTACTTTAATTGTCTTTTACTTTTCCTAAACACTATCAGATGGTCATTTCTTATTGAAAATCTACCTATGTAGACATTAGACTAACTCACACAAAATGCAAAATAATTTTAAGTATTTGATCTTTATCTGTTTTGCTATGGCACAGAAGTTCAATACAAGATAAAGAAGATATTTTTGAGAATTCATATGGTAAAGAAATTCTGTGAATATAATCAAATTGGAAAATTCTCAAAAAGACTTTTTATATTTACAATATAAACTATATTTTAACTGGAAAGAAATAAAATGAAAGTAATGAAAAGAAATAGTCTTCATCTAAATTTCAAGTCAAAATGTTCACTTGAGAACTCATACAGGAGAGAAATAATAGAAAAAATTAATGTGAGAATTCATTTATTGACTTCTCAGTTAAGACACATATGAGATAACATAATGTATATAAACTCCATAAATATGAAGTGTATAGAGAACCTTTCAAATGTTCCTTTAATCTTATGAGTAACATAAAGTCCACATTGAGGGCAAATACTATGAGGATACTAAGTGTAGAAAGCTTCAGTTCTTCATCCACCACTGTACATGTAACTACAATGGAGAAAAATCTCATGAATATAAGAATAGTGAATATTACATACATTTTTTATGCCAATTAAAAACTCTGAATGTAAAAACTGTGGGGAAACCTTCATTTGTTAAATATGTTTTACAGCATAAGTGAGAACTCATACTGAACTTTCAGCCTATGGATATAATACAGTATGAGAACATCTTAATTTCTTTTATTGCTAATGTATATATAGATGATATCATTAAAAAGAAGACATGGATATGAATTTGGAAAATCTTTCACTTAATCATTAAAATTTACATGACAAGTGAAAAAATGGAAGAGTTCAATAATTGTAAGTAATGTAAGTTCTCAACTCCCATTCATATCTATGTGGGTACAAATATAAAGAAAGATGGGATGCACATTAAACATTGACAGGAGTCTACTGAGCGCATTTGAAAAACTCTAACTAGCAGTGTTTTCAAAGCAAAGACTCATGACCAAACCTTTGGCAGAGTACAGGGAATCATAAGAAAGAAGGGGATTAAGTCTGATGAGGAAAGGATAGGAGCTCCACAAGGACCAAACATATCTGGGCACAGGGTCTTTTATGAGACTGACATGCAACCAAGGACCATGTATGAATGTAACCTAGAACCTCTGCTCAGATGTAGCCTGTGGTAACTCAGTAACCAATTGGTTTCCCATAGTGAGGGGAACAAGGACTATTTCTAACAGGAACTCAATGACTGGCTCTTTGGCCTCCCCACCCCCCAAGAGAGGAGCAGTCCTGTTAGGCCACAGAGGAGAGCTTTGCAGCCAGTCCTGAAGATACCTGATAAAACAGGATCGGATGAATGGGGAGGAGGTTCCCCCTATCAGTGGACTTGGCAAGGGGCACGGTGGAGATGAAGGAGGGAGGGAGGGAGGGACTGGGAGGGAATGAGGGATCGGGACACGGCTGGGATACAGAGTTAATAAAATGTAACTGATAAGAAAAAAATAAAATAAAATAAAGGAAGTCTTTATTATATGAGCAATGTGACAAATCTTCCAATTAATCTTCATATTTTAGTATGTATTGTGAATTGTATACTTTTGCTGTATCCTCTGGACAGAAATTATATTTAATGGATCACTTTGAAAGCCATCTTGACTGGATTAAGGGATATATAAAAAGCTAATATAGCATTATTCCTGTGTGTGTGTGTGTGTGTGTGTGTGTGTGTGTGTGTGTGTGTGTGTTTCTGGAAAAATGAAAAAACTGAGCCATTAATCCAGATAAAGAAAATTCACTCTTACCCATGGGAAACTGGTACCAGCTGTCTTCTGCATCTTGAACATCAAATTTCTCCAGCCTCTGAATAACAGAATTCCAGCTTTTGGACCCCAGGACTTGCAAAAGCCACTTCACATACTTTCAGGCTTTTGGAATACAACTGACCTTCACTACCACTTTAGATTTCTAAATTTAGGTTTTCTAGATTGCATGTAGCACATTGTGGGACTTCTCAACATCCGTAACCATGTGAAATAACTAAGGAAATCCTCTTTCTTCTTATCTCTTTTTTTCTTTCTCTCTCTTTTTATTTGTATTAGTGCTTTCCCTGTATTATTTATATGCACAATATGCAGTGCTTTGTACCTACATAGGCACAATGAGAGAATCAGATCCAATGTAACTGAAGTTAAAGATGGTTGTGAGGTGCCATATAAGTGCTGGGAATAGACCTCAGGTCCTCTAGAAGAGAAGATAATGCACTTAACCATAGAACAATCTCCCCAGACTCAATTGCTGTTTCTTAATAGGGAGGAGAAACCTGGAGAAAACTGAAAAAAATCATGTTCAGTTGCTTCACATCCTTCATGAAATACAAGAACTCACACAAGAGAAAAAAAAGAAAAATTCTAATATAATGTATATGAATATGTCTTTCAAAGCCATGTGAAAATTCATACCAAAGAGAAATTATCTAACTGTAAGAAATGTGACAAACTTTATTTCCCATTTAGTACATATGTGAGTACACACATTGATGAGAACTCATACAAACAGGAAACTCTAAGTACGACTTCAAATAGTTCTCACTTTTTAGACAGACAGTAAGAACAAATATTAAACACTTGTTAAGATTGTGGAAAAATCTTTTGATTTTCCTTATTCTTTCAAATATATGTGAAAGTCACACTAGAAAGAAATACAATATATTATTAATGTGGAAAAACCTTTAGGTACATATCTCCTTTTATGACAAGTTAAGAAAATTGATTTTAAAAGAGAATTATTTAAAAGGTAAGTATATAAATACCAGGAAAAATATTTCAGGATATTTTTACTTCATAAGTTATGAAACTAACATACATTTTCTCACAGTTACTAAAGATATCTATAGTATAAGACATTGGGGAATGGTTTGTCACAGAGCCAGCACTTAGATTAGGTGGAAACCATATGTTCAACCAGAGGCCACACGGCCACCAGAATTCTAGATAGATCACCTGTCCAAAAACTTCTCCAACTCTCTTGGAGCCTGCCCACCTTATCTCCAGTCTCCCCCTGTGGCCATGCCCCAGCTCCTAACTGGGAGGAAGACCCCTGCTTGACCAGAGCCCATTCCTGCCACCAGAACTTCAGGTAGGCATCCTGCCCATAGACATACCCCACTCTCCCAGTGGTCTCCACCATATTGAAATCTCCTACCCCCCCATCACCATGTTCCACTCCCTAATTCTTCAGATACCCACTGCTAAACTAGAGGCTATGAAAGTCATCAGAAGTTCAGTCCACAATTCAAGTGGAGACCATCTACTCAAACATAGTTTATTCCAGGCAGAAGAGAGGAAACAGAGACCAAGGCACCTATACCTATAATTGCCCCCAGAGAAAGATGTGTAGATGCCAGTGTAAGAATACAATCAGAAACAACAGAAAGCCTGAAAATTCATAGAAACTGAACAACTCTCTAAGTGATAACTGGGTCAAAACAGAAATAAGAAATTAAGGACTTTGCAGAATTCAACAAAAATGAATACACAATATACCCAAAGGTAAGAGACACAATGAAAGCAGTGCTAAGAGGAAAGTCCATAGGAACAAGTGCTTACACTTTTTTTTAAATGGAGCAATCTCATACTAGCAACTTAACAGCACGCCTAAAAATTCTAGAACCAAAAGAAAGGATCATACCCAAGAGGAGGAGATAGGAAATAATCAAACTGAGGGCTGAAGTCAATAAAATAAAAACAAAAAGAATAATACAAAGAATCAATGGAACAAAAATTTTGTTCTTTAAGAATATCAACAAGAGGGACAAACCCTCACCCAAACTAACTAAAAGGTGGAGAGAGGATAGCCAAATTAGCAAAATTAGAAATGAAAAGGCAGTATAACAACTGACACTGATGAAACCCAAAGAATGATTGGGTCATAAAAACCTGTATTCCACAAATTGTCTTTAAAAATCTTTTAAGACCGCTGATAGGGGAAGTCCTCCTCCCCTTCCATCTGACCCTAGCTTATCAGGTCTCATCAGGACTGGCTGCATTGTCCTCCTATGTGGCCTAGCAAGGCTGCTCCCCCTCTCAGGAAGGGGTGGTCAAAGAGCCTGCCATTAAGTTCATGTCAGAGACAGTCCCTGTTCCCCTTACTAGGAGACCCACTTGGAGACTGAGCTGCCATGGGCTACATCTGAGCAGGGGTTCTAGGTTATATCCATGAATGGTCCTTGATTGGAGTATCAGTCTCAGAAAAGACCCCTGTGCCCAGATATTTTGGTTCTGTTGCTCTCCTTGTGGAGCTCCTGTCCTCTCCAGATCCCACTATCTCCCCCTTCTTTCTATCAGTGGACTTGGAGAAGGGAATGAGAGGAGATGAGTGAGGGTGGGATTGGGAAGAAATGAGGGAGGGGGCTATAGCTGTGATACAAAGTGAATAAACTGTAACTAATATAAAAATAAATTTTTAATTTAAAAAAATCTTTTGAAAAATACTAAATGGAAAAACTCTCAATAGATACCACTTACCAAAGTTGAATCAAGATCAGATAAACTATATATACCCATACATACATATATACACAAACATATATATAACCTCTAAGGAAATAGAAGCATAATTTAAAGTCTCCCAAACAAAAAATAAAGCCAAAGACAAGATGGTTTTAGTATAGAACTCTACCAGACTTTCTAAGAAGAGCTAATACCAATATGTCTCAGACTAGTCTACAAAATAGTAACAGAACTCAAACTATTATACAAAATAGAAACATGATGACAAATTTATTTTATGATGCCACAGACACTCTAATACTGAAACTTACCAAATAATCAACTAAGAAAAATAATTGCAGACCAATTCTATTTATAAACATATATGCAAAAATACTCAATAACCCTACCCTTAGAGGCATTGCAAGTATGGCTGCTGTGTTACATGTGCTTTAGTAGGTGGCAGAGAGGAGAAAAGCTATATCTATGCTTAGTGTTCTGAGCTTTGAGTATTTGAATGAATAGTAGCCTAACATTTCCTGAAAAAAGAAAGCCTGAGGTGACCACCATTCCAGCACCAGGGTGCCTAGACAGGGAACTAGACTGAGACAACCACCAGTCTGCACTGCACAGACCTGGACAGGTTTTCATGGTGGGAAGCAAACCAGAGACTAGAAGAACCCCAACTGGGATCAGGGACCTCAGGCAAGAGTGAGCCCAAAACAGATGACCCTTCCATGCGGCCACTTGGATGGGATGGGCAAGGAGCAAGCCTAAGGTAACCACCAGATCAACACCATCGAGACTGGACAGTGGGCTAGCCTAAGATCACCACCAGGACGCTGCTGTGTAGGCCTAGGGAGACAAACTGGCCAAGATGACCTCTGCCTGATGTCATAATGCATGAGTGGGGAATAGCATACCTGGGGCCACTCCTGTGATGATCGCAGATACCCAGAGACCTATGTGCTACTAAGAGTATCAAATAAGTGGTGAAGAAATGGAAGAGAAAGTGAAATAGAAAGATATGGGCATAATGAAGAGAGGCAGACTTGGAAACTCAAGGGTAGTATGGAATAGCCTGATGTGAATAGACAGTGATACTACATAGGACCATAGTTAGCTCCTGACCTGTGTTGTCACCAAGGGCCATGTCTGATCCTGTGGACCTGCAGCAGGGTTCACTTACCACCAAAGGCCAGATGTCCCTGAGCTGGGCTGCCACCCAGGGACATAGTGAGTCTGAGAACTGGCAGAACTGGTCCCACCCCTCTCCTGGGAATCCTGGGAGATCCGGCCATGGGGATGAGAGAACAGGAGAGCTGACCCAGCCCCTAGCCAGCTATAGTGCTTTAGACAGCAGGCCCAGCACATTGTGAGGGTACTGGGTGAGCTGCCCTGAGGATACAAGCATGGAAGATCTGCCCCTGCCATTCATCTTCCATGTGGTAGTGTGGACTAGGGAAAGATACCCTCCTCCCATTTTGTCCCTTACCACCTACGGAAGGCAGGTGATCTGGCCCTGAGGTCATTAGAATGGGAGATCTGTCCCTGCCCCTCACCTGCTGCTGTACTCAGGAGAGCAGTCCCTGCCCCTCACCTGGGCAGCAGAGAAGAGCCCTGGATGTGGAGGTTGTACATGAGCCAGCCCTGAGGGTGTGAAACTGGGAGAGCTGGTTCTGCATCTTCTCTGCTGTGTGGCAGCATGGGAGGAGAGATGCCTTCCCCCACCCTCGCCCCTTGCCACCTATGGCAGGCAGGAGAGCTGGTCCTGGGGTTATGAGAACAAGAGAGCTGTCCCTGCTACTCACCTGCTACAGTACTTGGGAGTGTGGGTCCTGTACCTCACCTGGGCAGCACAGTAGAGTGGGCCCTGGACATGGGAGATGCAGATGAACTGCCCCAAGAGTATGAACACAGAAGACCTGGCCCTGCATCCTGACCGTTGAGCAATGTTGTGGATGAGAGAGTGATACCCTCCCTCCGGCACCCTCTCATTCCTCACTATATATGGCAGGCATGATATCTGGCCTTGGAGTTCTGAGAGTGCAGAACTGGCCATGTCTAACACCAGATGCAACATTCATAAGAGGAGGCCCTGAACTTCAACTGAGCAGTAGGGTAGACCTGGTCCTGGTTGAGGAAGTTGCCAGTGAACCATCCCCAAGGGAATGACAGTGTGTTAGCCAGTGGGATGTCCAGCTCAAATACCTCTCAGACCCAGATCTAGGACTTTGAATTGACACATTCCAATATTTATCCTATCGATAAACTACTGGAGCGCATGAAAGGGTCGGTCCTACATATCCAAAACTACAGGATCTCCATGACACAGGGCAACAAAAGGATATCTGAGAAAAGACCCAGTGAGTTTCCAGTATTGATAGAGTATCAGAAGCCAGAGGCCTCACACAAGAACAAGGAGTCATTGCAATGAACATTTGCAAGCAAATAAGTGTGGACAAGAGGGTATTCTGTGGGACACACTGTGACACATTACAGCTTTCAAAGGAGTATTTTTCTGTTGGGGGTGAGGTTGAAATGCTGAAAGCAGGTACAAGGAGAGGGAAAGATGAGAGAGGGAATCAGGTGCATGATGTGAAATTCACAATTAAAAGTTTAAAAACCACTCAATAAAATACTTATAAATTGAATTCAAGACAGATTAACAAGTTCATCTACCATGACCAAGTAGGTTTCATCCAAGAGATGCAAGTATGGTTCAACATACAAAAATCAGTGTTCATCTCATTAGATGCTGAAAAAGCCCTTGACAAAATCAAATACCTCTTCATGACAAAAAGTGTTAGAGTAGGGATAAAAGGGACATACTTAAACCTACTGATGACAATCTACAGCAAGCTTATAGCCAACATTAAATTAAATAGAGAGAAATACAAAGCAATTCCATTAAAATCAGGAACAAGACAAGGGTATCTACTCTCCCTTTCTATTCAGTAAAGTACTTGAAGTTCTAGCTAGAGCACTAAGACCACTGAAGAAGATTAGGGGGTACAAATTGGAAAGGAAACATCAAATTATCTTTATTCACAGATGATACAATAGTATACATAAGCAACCCTAAAAATTTTTAACATGGAACTCCTACAGCTGATAAACACCTTCAATGATGTGGCTGGTTACAATATTAAGTAAAGGTTGTAGAGAAAGGGGAACCCTCCTCCATTGCTGGTGGGAATGTAAACTTGTACCGCCACTTTGGAAATCAGTCTGGCACTTTCTCAGACAATTAGGAATAGTGCTTCCTCAAGATCCAGCTATACCACTCCTAGGCATATATCCAAAAGATGCTCAAGTACACAACAAGGTCATTTGCTCAACCATATTCATAGCAGCTCTATTCGTAATAACCAGAACCTGGAAACAATCCAGATGTGCCTCAATGGAGGAATGGATATAGAAATTTTGGTACATTTACACAATGGAATACTACTTAGCAATTAAAACAAGGAAATCATGAAATTTGCAAGCAAATGGTGGGATCTAGAAAAGATTGTCCTGAGTGAGGTATCCCAGAAGCAGAAAGACACACACGGTATATACTCACTTATAAGTGGATACTAGACCTATAAGATAGGATAAACATACTAAAATCTGTACACCTAAAAGAAGCTAAACAAGAAGGAGGACCCAAGGTAATATGATCAATCCTCACTTAGAAAGATAAATGGTATAGATGTTGGAAGTAAGAGAAAACAAGAAAAGGGACAGGAGCCTACCAGAGAGGGCCTTGGAAAGACTCTACCTAGCAGTGTATCAAAGCAGATGCTGAGACTTGTAACCAAACCTTCAGCACAGTGCAGAGAATCATATGAAAGAAGGGGGAGTTAGTAAGATCTGGAGCGGACAGGAGCTCCACAAGGATCAAATATATTTGGGCTCAGGGGTCTTTTCTGAGACTGATTCTCCAACCAAGGACCATGCATGGATATAACCTAGAATCCCTGCTCAGATGTAGCCCATGGCAGCTCAGTATCGAAGTGGGTACCCTACTAACGGGAACAGGGACTGTCTCTGACATGAACTCAGTGGCTGGCTCTTTCCCTACCCCTGAGGGAGGAGCAGCCTTGCTAGGTCACAGAGGAGGACATTGAAGCCAGTCCTGATGAGACCTGATAAGGTAAGGTCAGATAGAAGGGGAGGAGGACCTCTCCTATCAGTGGACATAGAGAGCAGCAGGGAGGAGATGAGGGAGAAAAAGTGGGACTGGGAGGGTATAAGGGCGGGGCTACAGCTGGGATACAAAGTAAATAAATTGTAATTAATATAAAAAATAAAAATTTAATTAAAAAAGATTAAGTCAAAATAATCAGTATCCCTCCTATATACAAATGACAACTGGACTGAGATAAAAATCAGAGAAAAAAACAAAAATAGCCACAAATAATACAAAATATATTGGGATAGCTCTAACAAAGTAAGTAATATACTTGTATGATAAAAAATTTCAAGTCCTCAAAGAAAGAAATTAAAGAAGAAAAACAGATGCAGAAACCTATATCCAAACAATAGACTGAGCTCAGGGATATCTGTGGAAGAGTGGGAGGAAGAATTGAGGGAGTCAAAGGGGCAAGGACACAACAAGACCTACAGAGTAAACTAATCTGGGCCCATGGGTAATCACAGAGACTGAACCACCAACCAAAGAGCATGCATAGGGTGGATGTAGTCCTCCTACACATATAAAGCAGATGTACAGCTTGGTCTTCATGTGGGTCCCCTAACAATGGAAGCAGGGGCTGTCTCTGACTCTGGTGCCTGCTAGCTCTGGTGCCTCTGGCCCCTAGCTGGTTTGCCTTATCTGGCCTCAATGGTACTTTATCCTGCTGAGACTTGAGGCACCAGAGTGTATTGGTAAGCCTTGGGAGCTTCCCCTTCTCTGGGAAGAAAAGCAGAGTATCGGGGGTGGGGAACCTAGGGTTGAACTGGGAGAAGAAGAAGGAAGTGGCTGGGATCAGGTTGTTAATTAATTAATTAAAGATATCTGAACATGGAAGCTCTCCTGTGCTTATGGATCAGTAGACTCAATAAACTAAGAATTGTCATCCTACCGAAAGAAATCTACAGATTCAATGCAATTGCCATCAAAACTCCAACACAATTTTTACAGACCTTAAAGGGAACATTCTCAACTTAATATTTTTTTAAAAGATAAATAAATCGGCGCGGCAAGATGGCGGCGCCGGGAGGACTCTCATTCTGAGGAGCAGCACAGCAGGATTGGCACAGTGACCAGCAATCAGAACTCGCGGCCATAAAACACAAGGGATTGTGTTTCACAGGTGAGAGGATACCCCACCGTGGGGGATTCAATCAGCTTTAACTCACCCGACTAAACCGCGGAAGAGATCCCGGTTCCGCCAGGCGCTTGGTCGCCAGCCCAGAGCTACCCGCCAGCGCGATCTGGTCACGGTCCCAGACTGAACTGTGGGCCCACAACACCATAGACTGGATTCCCCAGTCAAGAGATAACCCCACGGAGCAGGAAACAATTGGGACCAACCTCAGGTTACCCA